CAAAATTCGAATTATATTCGAATTTAAAAGGCATAATTTCAGTTGGGGGAAAAAAACTTTTGGCTTCTCTCCTGAGGCCACAAGAGGGCGCAAAATATTATGCACGTTTCTTCAAAGCGTAATAAAATAACACGACTATCTTTGAAAAAAAAGTGCATAATGTTTAAAATAATGTTTATAAACCATGTATAATTAATAAAGTTGCTTAAACAATTAGAAAAAGACAGCACCATGCATGTATGTATAGTTTAATACAAAGGAACAAAAACCAATCACAAAGAGTAGGCTAGTTTCTTCATTTAAAAACATGAGATACAGTGGGATGAGGAAAAACCGCCATAAAGTCTTGAGACATGTTTTTTAAAAGTTGAACTTGCATTAATTTTACATGGCTTTCTAAACATGCCGCTCTCTTGTGCCAGACGCGAGTGCAACGCTGATAGATGTCCCTCTAGAAAATGTGATAAATATGCATTCTGTGTGAACGATTTGGCTTCAGTTTTGACGTAAACAACATCTTCTCCACACTGATGCTCTCGTTTTCCGCAATATATGAATGAACAACGTAGCAGCGCCGCATCTAGTGGGTTCAACTGGATAGGCTAACAAAAGCATTCAAATGCAATCAATGATTCGACAAATATTCGAAATTCAAAACAATTTTTGACAGCCCTAGAGTACACACACACACATATACGTAAAATGTCAGGCAGAAACAATAATACACCCTTTATCTGCCAAATCATGAAAATAATTATCGGTTTAACTAGTGCTGGGCGGTATACTGGTTCATACCGAATTGAAAAATACCGTGATATCAATTTTTGGTCATACCGCCCAGCACTAGGTTTAACAGTACTAGACCCAATAAATGAATATATAGTTTTTATTAGTACAGCCTTATTTCATGCTTGTTTTTGTTGACTACATTGACTGGGTTTTAAGATGTGATCAAGTGACACCGGAACAGAATCGATCATTTGTCATGTGTTTTGTTCAGAAAACATGGGCATCTATGATGACATCGATGCTGATGTGCTGAGGAACTATCAGGAGTTTGCTCTGGTCAACATCATCTACTTCGGGCTGAAGGAGTCCACCACCAGTGAGCAGAGCTCCAGGATGACCGCTATGGACAGTGCCAGCAAGAACGCTTGTGAGACATTTTATACGTCATCTTCCTTTCAGTTTCAAAAGACTTTGATGGCCAGTTTCCTACATTCCTTGCTAAAGTGTGCTCATTACTAATGTTATCGCTCATACTTGAGAATTCTCATTTGCAATCTTGAAATCTTTCTCTCCGTCAGCTGAGATGATTGACAAGCTGACTCTGACCTTCAACCGAACCCGCCAGGCCGTCATCACTAAGGAGCTCATTGAGATCATTTCTGGAGCCGCTGCTCTGTAAGCTGTTTTTCCTCTTTCTTTGCCCATCTCTTACGCTCATTATAACCCATGCATGCCCACCTGTCTTCCTCATTCATTATTTTTATTGGGTTGTGGTTTTCTAATGCCCTGTTCTGTTACATCCACAGCATGTTTTTATTTCTTTTAATTTTATAAACTCATCTATTATATGTGTTGTTTTTACACCATTAATTTATTAACCCACATTAATCCAATTTCCATCTTTCCCTCACTGACCTTCCATAATATGCATGCATTCACCGTTCACAGAAACTGAAGCGTGACTGAGGTAACGTCCTGCAGCTGACTGTAGAATATAGTGTGTGCTTATAGAGAAATAGCATTGACAATGCTTTTTTTTTTAGTGTTCTTGCTTTCTTTATTAGGTGTTTTGTTGCATGTTCTTTTATTGGGTTTGGTCAAAACCGAGAAGTTAATTTCCACAGGCCATTAGTAAAAGCTGCATAAGTTAAAGAGTAAAAGAGCTTATTTTTTTGGTAAAGTGTGACACACTGACTTCTAGTCTTATTGGTTAGGCCTGAAACATACTCTATATGCAAGTACATGAATGTAAATGCTTCTTTCATATAGAATGTTTCTGGCCTTGAACTTGACTAATATATATTCACACCAACACAAATGTTTGTTGCAACCATTCGTGTGCAATTTGACTGTTCAGACCAATGCTGAAAAGAAAACGGCAGAAGGGCTGAATGAAATGGCAAATTCACTCTCTGCCAGCAGGTGGAGCTTGTTAAACAGCAGAAATACAGCGTTAAACAAGGATGGCTGTGTGCAACTTTACACAACTTCCTCCACTGTTCATTGTAGCTCAGCACAATAGTCTTTTTGTGAGCACTACCGAGTTGTAGTTTTACGTAATCACGTGTGTGTGTGTGCATGTGACCAAAAGCGCAAATCTTATTGGTTGGCGAAGTTTTTCTGTAGTGCGTTGGGGGGGGAAAAAATAGAGCACCTCTCTGTAAAAACAAACTGTTGCTTTGACGGCATGCAAATATTCATGTCGAACAGCTGTGTATTCAAACTAATCAACACTTGTTTCGGTGTGAACAGGCCTTGAGTGTTTAGAATGTACTAAATATATTTATTTTCTCATTACAGATAAAGAGGAGTCCTGTAAACGTCCAGTGTGGTTCTGGCGCACATATTCTCCAGTGCAGTCACCTGGTGTAGAATTCATAAATATATATGTGCTTCTGTTTGTACAATTATCAGAGAAAATAAACCTCTTACAGAGAAACGCCATCCATTTGAGTTCGAGTGTATGTCCTAATCAGCTTTGATGTCCTGTTAAAAAAATAAGTTTCCCGTCTCATGCTTGTTTTCCATTGGAATTAAAGCTTGTGAACTCTTCTTTGAAGCCGCGGGCTCGGCTACGCTCAGAGGTTATCAATACACAGAGCATTTGAAGAGAAGACGTCTGCCAAAACAGAACACGAGGTCAATCCTTCTAATAAACTCTCTCTGGCGTTTACGGATTTTGCTTAAAACAGTATTAAGTTACTTTGAACTGATTACTGATAAACCCAATTGACTTAACGGCATCCTTATTGTTCCTTCTTATAATTGCCAATCAAAACAAGTTTAGCCTCCTTGTTATCCATTTGAAACTCAAGCCCGGCCAGCCACCACAGTATCAGATTAAACGATCGAGCTGCGGTGTTGGGTGTCTGGATCCATGAAAGGGTGAATTTGGGGGTCACTGATTGTAGAAGAGGGTCTGATCTATTAAAGTAATGGACAAGTAGAAAGTTTGACCATATGGGTCACTCATACATTATTTAATCAGCTGCCACTGGAGCTCATATTCTGATGGTTATCATCTGAGAACCGATGCACATCACCATACCCAACCGTTGTTGTTTTTTTTCTTCTGAAGATGTTTTTGAGTCATCTGAGTTCATTATGCATTAGAAATAGTTTAAAAATATAAGAATATTAGTAAGTGTTTCAGTGCACAATTGACGATTTCATTTGAAAACAAGTTTCATTTGTTGCATTCCGTCTTTACTGTACTAGTAGTAATATAAGCATATGATCTGACTTTGAAATCATTTTTAGCAACAACAATAATGTGCTTGAAATTTACTGTCAGAAATATCTTTTCAGCATCAAAAATAATTTGTTTTAAATTTGCTTTTGTATAAAAGTGAATCTTTCCTTAAATGTTCCACAGTGGGGAAAGAGTTGTTTCTTTTTTAAAATATTAAATCCAACTCGCACAGCCTTTTCTGAGTAAATGTTTATAAATAGGTATAGACTTTTACTTAAAATAACTAGTAACCATAGTTCTACTGTAAACTACCATAGTAGTATTAGTACTATGGTAGACATAGATATTTAAAGTAAAATTATTACCTTTACCATATGTCAAAAATATATGTATCATGTCATATACAAATCCACAAAATTCATGTGGACGAGGGAAAAAAAATTAACTTAAATGATTTTAGCAAATGGCTGCAATATAACAAAGAGTGAAAAATTTAAGGGGGTCTGAATACTTTCCGTACCCACTGTATATATATATTCCTTTAAGGTTATTTTATTCTTTTTTTATTCTTTATTAAGTACCATTTTTTTTGTTTTAGTTAACAGCAATAACCCTTCAAATCAGATACACTTTTTTATTATACGTGTAACAAAGCAACTCTATCTGAACCTTTTCTTTTTTTTGTGAAAGTGAGAGTTTGCAAAACATTGCTAATTTATGTGGCGTTGTTTTTTTTATTTATTTAAATGTTTGGAATGTTTTTGTAAATGTTTGTTTTGTTATTTTATGTTATTTTATTATCATTGAGAAACTATTATAGTTTTATCAATATCTTAAATTAGTTTAAATTTTTTTAGTAATTAGTAGTTTTTTTGTAGTCCTAACTAAGTTTTAGTAATGTTGTTTGTTTCTGTCATTTGTAGTAGTTTTTTTTTAATTGTCCAGTCTGTGACATAAAAATTACAATTTAATATAATTTATTTAATGCACACAATAAACAGCAACGCAGACCTACAAATATGTGACCATACAATATGCCACATATTATTATTATTATCATCATCATTATTAATGCCATGTACAAAAACAATAAAATACACCGAGATACACTAAGAAATATTCATTCAACGGCAAGAAAAGCAAAACAAAGAAATTATAAACCAGTGCTAGAGTACAGTAATAATACAAATGTATAATATACAAGTGGAATGTGGAATAAAATACCACTCCATGCAACAATCTCATATTTGCTTTCAATATATTTATGAGAATCTCATGGATCATGTGAAAGATCCACTGAATCGTTTGTTGAACCGGTTCATATAAATGAAAGGTTCGAAAAAACTTTAATTATCAGCCGTAGCCTTTTGATTACTGGCGTATTATCTATTACAAAGGCCATTCGAAAACAAAGAACAAAAACTATATTTTATAATTTTTTTTACAGGAAATATTCAAGGCTTTTACACACCATCATTACCATTTTTTTCACTACTAACATACAGATGCAGGTGGTCTAATCGAGCAAGCTATAATCGATCAGACTCACCGCTCTTCTGCGCATGCGCGATCGATTGCTCCGCAATGTTTCACTCGGTAGGTAAAGATGGCGGCTCCTATGGAAGCGCCAATGTCCCTATTCATGTGAATGAGCAAAACAAAGCCTTTCCAGGCGCAGTGAGAGCGGGCTTTCGGGAGCGGAGACATGTGTGAGAGTTACGTGCGCTCGCTGCTGCGGGTGTCCGTGGCGCAGATGTGTCAGGCGGTGGGCTGGGACGCGGTGCAGCTGAGCGCCTGTGATCTGCTGTCCGATGTGCTGGAGAGATACTTGCAGCAGCTGGCCCGGAGCTGCCACCGATACTCCGAGCTCTGTGAGTCGTTTAACACTCCTTTCTGACTCTTGAAGTACTGTTCCCTGGCTTAGAGTGTGTTAGTGTACACTCACTGTAGATAGGGGGTTTGTTGTTAAGCCCCGCCCACTACAAGTGTTGTTTGCATGCTAAGCTAACTAGCTCCTCAAATGGGGATTTTACTGTTATTGCATTAAAACGTTCTTAACGAACGTTTCTTTGACTTCTTAACGCTTTGTTTTTTTTTGTAAGACGTTAGTTTGGACGCTAGCCATCGAACTTCTCTGTATGTTTTGACAGCTGACTAGAGGCTAGTTAGCTGACTATTTAGGCTTTAACAGAGATCAGCTTTTGCTTAACAGACTGTATGTTGCTCAAAATGAAGTGAATGTGAAATAGTATCCCTCTCGGAGCTTGAATGTTTGCTGCCCCTTAAACCAGATAATAGTTGGCAAGAATGCAGAGTATGGATTCCCACTTGTTGCCATAGTGATGATGTAAGCTGCAGCATCATCTGTGTGTATGTGCAGTCCATGTGTTCAAAACAGTGTTGTTTTAATATCATTCAGATACTGTTATAGTATTTATTAATTCGTTTTTTAGGAATTCTTTTTTGTTTTCATATATTTTAAATCAAAAGTTTTAGTTGTGTTTTTTAAGTGTCATTTCAGGTTATTTCAGTTCATCAAATTTGCATGTAGCTAAAATAAAACAAGTTCAAGTAGTTTAAATTTTTTTAGTAATTAGTAGTTTTTTTGTAGTCCTAACTAAGTTTTAGTAATGTTGTTTGTTTCTGTCATTTGTAGTAGTTTTTTTTTAATTGTCCTTTTTTATTAATTTTTATTTCAGTTTTAGTTATTTTAGTACATCAAGTTAAACTAAATGAAAATTAGACATGTTGAGAAAATGAGAAAAAAAAACTTGAAATAAAATAAGTTTATTTATATTTTATTTTATGTAAGCTTTTTTAAATTTAACTATAATAACACTGATTCAAAACAAATACACTTTCTTTTATTTGTGCATTTGTTTGTTGTCAAAGTGAGAGTCTGCAAAACATTGCTCATTGGGGGCCATGTTTTGCTGTTTTTGTGTGTTTAATTGGCCATGTTTGTAAAGTTTTTGTGAATGTTTGTTTTAAAAGTTTGGTTTGTTTGCATGCTTATGTAGAAATGTTTTGAAAGCTTGGTTGTCACATGAAGGCGTTTGTTTTTGAGATGTAACTAATAACATTATGACACAGCCGAAAGGTATTTATTTTATTTAGTTAGTTGTTTGTTTGTTTAGTTAGTAGGGCTGCACGATTAATCGAATGCGATTGTCATGCGCATTTTGTTAGTAAAGCCGGTTCTGTAATCAGCAGGAAATCATCATCACGTGCTTTCAGATGGAGCAGCATTTACTACACATAGCCGTAGTTCACTGACAAGTTACGCAAAAAAAATCGCAGACGATTTTATTGCGCGATTATGAAATCGAAGAAATCGTTTGCGATAATGACAGCTGTTTGCATAGTTTCTCAGTGAACTACGGCTCTGTGAATTAAATGCTGCTCCATCTGAAAGCATGTGAAAATACCACATTTAATAACATATTTTTACTCCAAACTCACTTCATAACGTCAGTCGAGTGTTTGAAATAAATCCTTCTGTGAGATAATGTGGCTTCTACTATATAAGGCACGCAACATATTTCATAGTATTTAAGCAATGATAAAGGCATTGAATTATAAATATACTTTATTTTAATGAAAATTATAATAATAAGAACTCCGATAAACCGTATATTATTGCTGTAGTCGTGTGTTTATTAGTTACGTTGAATCAATGAAAGCAGTTGAATCTTCTGTTTATTCAGCTGCAGCGATAGGCATTTTCTGGGTTTCTTCTGCGAGGCGTATTTGGAGTTTCAGCGCGAGAGCGCCCTCTGGCCTTTGGATGGAGATTTACTGCTGATCACAGAACCGTGCTTCACTGAAAGATACGCATGACAATGGCAGCTTCTGTTGAATCGTGATCTCGATTCCATTTTGATTTATCGTGCAGCCCTATTAGTTAGTATAATAACCGTATATTTTACCTTGTCGGAGGTAATTTCCTACTTATTGGTGTGTTTTCTTTCTCTCTTTAAATATTTTAGGCTTAAATATGATCATTTATAATGTCCATTTATTTAGTATTTGGTATATTAGGTTGCTGAACACACATTAATTCCATATTTTGCATAGCATAATGTCTCTCTATTTTCTTTCAGACGGATGTACAGACCCTGGACTGAGTGATGTGGACCAGGCTTTTGGACTTTTGGGAGTCAGTATATCTGAACTCGAGGACTATGTAAATAACATGGAGCCTGTTGGCTTCCCACAAACTATCCCTCAGTTTCCCATCAGCAAGAGCAGCGTTCTGCAGTTTCCTGCTGCTGGCTTTGACACGGACGCCCGTGATGCCCTGAGGGGCGAGATGAGAGACTATATCCCAGAATACTTCCCTCCGCTCGTCTCACTGCAGGAAGGTATGTACCACCATCGCTATAGAGGCAGAACCAAATATATGCAAGCAACAAGTTATCAAAACATAATAGAACAGTGTTGAGTTGGAACTAACTGTTCGTGACAGTTTGCTGATTTATTGGCTACTATTTGGCTGAACGAAAGTGGTATTCTGGGCCCATTTTTGACTTGGCATTTTAAAAATAAAACAATTTAATGGCAGCAAATGATACGCACAGAAATACTGAATTTAAGGGAATAGTAAATTACAGTGTTTTTTTTATATTTAATATTTATATTTAATTTTAATTAGTAATTAACATGACCTGTGTTGTGTTTCTGTAAACACTGAAAGAAAAGAATGATATGATGCATAATATTTTCACATGATCATTGAAATGTTCCAGTAGAAAAGAATTAGTTGACATGAGTTCCTAATGTTTTCCTTTGGTCACCGCTTACACATACTAAAGGAAAATAGAACAAACAAAATTAAAATGAGGTGAAAATAACAGTATCTCTCATATAAGAAAAAAAATATGAGTTTATTTATTTAATGTATTATTTATTTTATTTATCAAATATTTATCTAATTATTAAGTTGCCTTTCCTGTTAAATTATTCTTAAGATGCAGTTATTTGTTTAATATGTGCAGTAAAATAACATGGAATAACTCTGTAACACATTATATAATTTTCCATTTTCTCTTCCAATTCTTTTTTTCCCCTCCGCATGAAATATTATTTAAAACAAATTCCAGTTGATCCCCAATGATAATGTCTTATGTCTGATACCTTGTGATTAAGTAAATAGCGTGGACGTAGATGTTGGAATTTTAATTTTAATTTTGGAATTTATCTGAATCATCTGACATAAAAGCGTTACATTATTTAATACTTTAGTTTAAAAATGGTTATCATTCTATTATATTTCTATC